TGGGACCATAGTCTCATGGAATAACTTGATCAGTCAATTGACATAACATAGTTCATAAAGATAATGTTCTACATCCTAATTTGGTGAGTAGCAACTGGGGTTTTAAAAGCTCTCGATGGTCAAGTAAGATACAACTATTGGTCTCTACTCATCTGGAACAAAAAAGAATGAAGGAAACCAAAGACTCAATGAAGAAACTAGTCCACAGGACTAAGAGCCCACATGAACCACAGCCTCATCTAGCCAGAGACCAGAAGGTCTCACCACCACTGACCATTCTGATCAGGGACACAACAGAATGTCCCAGATAGAAAGGGAGAAAAATGTTGGACAAACCTCAAATTCCTTAAAAAAAAAAAAAAGGTGACATTTACTGGGCCAATAGAGACTAGAGAAACGCCCAAGACTATCGCCCTAAAATACCCTTTGAACTTGGAACTGAAGCTATTCCTGGTGATCACCTTTCATCCAAATAATAGACTTGCTTATAAAAAAGTAGTATTAGCCAAGTACTGTGCTCCCTTAAATAATCAACTATATGAGACCAAACAGTCAACATTTACCCTAAAACAAATACGAGAAGCTCAAGAGCAGCAGAAAAGACAGATTACTGGAAAAAGAACAAACAGAATGGAAATAACAAAAATACAGACACATTGTGAAAAATGTAACCATTGTTATGGAACAATCTGTAAAAAAAAATTGTTAAATGGGAACCTAATTTGCTGTATAAACTTTCACCTCAAACACAATAAAATATTGTAAAAGATATATCTAGCTATATCCCCAAACATTTGTAAATATCAGACAAAAGTAGACATTAATGCAAGAAGCATTTCAGAGACCAAGAGGGACATGATACTCACAATTCAACTTTATCAATGTTTATAACTGATATCTAATAAAGCTTCTAGCTCTTACTACCAATTATTAGGAAATACAGGGGGAAGAAAAATCTTGGTAATGCAATCAGCAAAATCCAGACTATGGGATGCTCCTCGAGATAAATGATCAGCATTCTTCAACAGATATAAAGCAAGGGGGAAAAACGAGGAGGAAGCTATAGATTAAATAACTTGAGAAACATGGCCACCTTTTGCCATGTAAGTTAATTAGATCCTGATTTAAAGAAACAAATAGTAAAGAAAAACAAATATGAGACTATAAAGGAATCTGAAGAGTTGACAGGATATTGAATGATATTAAAGATTTATTTAATAATGGTGTTATAGTATGTTTTTAGAGAGTCTTTACCTGTTAGCAATACATGCTAAGACACCTATGAATACAATGGGTGAAAAGATATAAGGTCAGGGATTTTCTACAAAATATTCTAGGGGAGTACTGAAACAGTATTGGCCATGAGGTGGGAATCGTCGAAAGTGAGTGACAGCATCACTGAAACTTATTCTACATTCTCTTCACTTGTGCGTATGCATATATAAAATTCGCCATTTACAAAAATTTTTAAAACGTGAAAAGGCACATCACCATAGTGCCATGACTTACTACATGAACTGTGAAAAGCTGTTTTGTTTTTAAAATATAGATAAATATATTTGTTCTACTAAAACCAAAAAAAAACTAAACCTACTGCCGTCAAGTCGATTCCAACTCATAGCAACCCTCTAGGACAGAGTACAACTGCCCCATGGGGTTTCCAAGGCTGTAGATCTTTATGGAAGCAGACTTCCACATCTTTCTCCTGTGGAGCAGCTGGTGGGTTCGAACCATCGACCTTTCAGTCAGCAGCCGAGTGCTTAACCATTGCACCACCAGGGCTCCTACTACATCTTATTTGTACCTAACAAGTATATTTGTTTCATCAGTACTTGGCATTTGATGATTCTTGCAAAAATGTCTGTGAATAAATAGGAGCAAGAAATTAATTACTTCAAGATAACTGTGTGTGTGTGCATGCACGTGTGTAAATTTCCCTTATCACTAACAATGCCAAGTACTTTTTCACGTATTTATTTGCCATTTGGATCTCCTTTCAGGCAAAAAGCCTGTACATGTCACTAAAAAAAAAGCAACAGTGATTTGTAATACCTCATTATGTATTCTGGACACAGGCCTACTGTCAGATATACAGGTTGCAAACATTTTTTCTCGCTCTTTGGTTTGTTTTCACTCTTCTTACTGGTATCTATTGATGGTTTAAAAAAAAATCTTAATTGTAATATAGTCAAATAATTGTATGTTTTCCTTTTTAGTTATTGCTCTGTGAATTTTATTTTAGAAAATAATCCCTACTCTGGGATCATAAAACAATTCCCCTTATATTTATCTTTAAGGCTTAATTGTTTTGCTTTTCACATTTAGTTCTATCATCCACCTAGAATTCAGTTTTTTGAGTATGGTGTGAAGTAGGGATCCAATTTTATTTTTTCTTCCAGAAGGATACCCAATTACCTCAGTACAATGAATTAAAAAAGGGTAAATATTTTTCTCAATACCTGTAATACTCCTTTACACTAATGTGTCGAAAATGCCACCTGAATATGCATAGATCTGTGTATGGGCTCTATTCTGTTCCAGAGTTGTTAGTTTATCTTTGTGCCAATACCACGCTGCCTTAATCACTATAACTGTACAACAACCCTTGCCACTTGTTCTTTATTATTTAAGATTGTCTTGGCTATTTTGGCCCTTTGCATTTAAAAATATAAACTTGAAAATCACATTATACATTTCCATATTAAAAAAAAACTACTGTGATTTTGAATGGGTCTGCATATAAATCAATTTGGGGAAAACTGACATTTTAATAATATTGAATCTTCCAATCACATATACTTTGATCTTTATAACTATTGAGGTCTTTTAAAAAATGTTTTCCTGTTAAAGTTTTACAGTCTTCTCCATATAGATTTTCACACCTTTAATTAGATTTATTCCTAGGAACTTGATACTTTTTAATGTTATTATAAACATTATCTTTTTAAATTTTTATTTTCTGTTTGGTGCTGGAACACAGAGGTACAATTGATTTTGTAGATTGATTTGTATATCCAATAACCTTGCTAAGCACTTATTAATAATTTATAATTCATGAGTTGGCTATTTTGTATTTCCTATGTATGCAGTGATACTGTCTGTGAACACTGAAAGTTTTATTTCTTCCTTTCCAATCTTTATCAATTTTGCTTTTGTCTTACTACACTGCCTTGAATCTCTAGTACAATGCTGAATAGAAGCAATGATAATAGATGTTCTTGTCTCATTTCTTATTTCAAAAAGGAAACTTTTAATATTTCACTTCTAAGATATTGGCTATAAATATTTCACAGATATTCTTTATGATATTAAAGAAGATCCCTTAGATTTCTATTTTGTAATGAGTTTTTATCAAAAATGAGTACTTGATTTTGTCAGGTTTTTTTTTTTTCATCTATTGAGACTGTTAGATGATTTTTCTACTTATTCTCATTATGCAGTAAATTATATTATTTTTGAATATTAAAATGTACATCCCTTGGATAAAACCAAATTGAACATATTATATTTTTATTTATTACTTGATTTACTTTAATAACATTATTTTAGGATATTTGCATCTAAGTTCAAAACTGTCCTGTAGTTTTTCATTTTTATGTTATTCTTGTTGGATTTTGGTATGAAGGTTATGCTGGCCTCATAAATTGAGACAGGGAATATAATATCTTTTACTTCCTTTGGAATAGTTCATGTAAAAATTGAGTGTTTCTTCTTTAAATGTTTGGTACGTTGTTGTTGTTAGATGCTGTAGAGTTGCTTCCAACTCATAGCGACCCTGTGTACAACAGAACAAAACAGTGCCCGGTCCTGCGCCATCCTCACCATCTCTGCTATGTTTGAGCCCACTGTTGCAGCCATTCTGTCAATCCATCTCGTCAAGGGTCCTCCTCCTTTTCACTGACCCTCAACCTTACCAATATGATGTTTGGTAGAACTTGCCATTAAAACCAAACGACTTAGACTGTCTTTGGAGGGAGGCTTTTAATTATGTATTCAATTTCTTGAATGTTATAGGAGTATTCCATTTTTTATTTCTTCTTGTACTTCTTTCTAAAGGTTGTGTTTTTCTAGGAATTTGTACATATCTCCCAATTTTTCAAATGTATTGACAAAATTGAGCATAATATCCTCTTATTATCTGCAGGATGTTCAGCTGGCATGGAACATCTACTTTGCAAATGATAAGGCATGATGTTTTTAATTTCTCTTTTCAGCCTTAGAAGCTTATTCCATCTTCTTATTGAAAGCCACTATCACAGAATTAGCAACAATATTAAACGAGCAGGTAGGTTCAGTAACCTGCATTCCAAAATTATCTAAGAAAGACAGCTATCTAGAACTAAAGCTCTCTAACATGGGAACCACTACTTTTTCTTTGGTAGTATGGTTCAAGTTCATTCATTCATTTGTTAAACAAAAGTGCAAGATACAAGCGTAAAAGACAGTCCTTAGGCTGTCAAGAAGCTTTCTTCCTGGAGCGGAGATACTCCAGTAAAGACGTACAATCTCATGAGACAAGTTCTACTCTGTGCATGATACAGATGAGCACAAGATGCTATTGAAACAGAGAGGAGAGGTACTCTTACTCTTCTTTTAGGATTGAGTTCCACGTGGTGGTGAGAATGGTGGAGTAGTAGGAGCTGAAGAAGCAGAGACAGGCAGAGACAACATCATGAATGGATTTATGTCACATTAAAGAGCCTCATGAAGCGTATGATGCGGTGGCACCACAGCTTTTAAATGATCTGATCTGCATTTTAGAAAGTTAGAACTGAAAAACAATTTCAAGCATTTATAACATTAGAAACTTCAACAATTCAGAATTGTCTAGAAGAAACATTATGGTTCTACCTATTAACAAAATGAAAAACCGTTGTCTATGGAAGTTTTAAAACTAAAAGTTAAAGGTTTGAAATGGGAAACTGCCCACAGTTTCTCCTGGATGAATATCAGAGCTTGGGGAGAAAAAGAGTATGAGCAAACATTTCAGGTTTGCATACCTATAGCAAGATGCTCCATAGGGACACTCAGGCCGGTCATCAACCTCATCTTGACACATGACTTGTACACCTCCATAATCACTATCACCAGGGTGGCTGAAGTGTTGAAAATGGACAGGATTCTTCCTATGAAGATGACGAACATACCGTCAGAAAAAAATAATAGGATATAACAGATTTTTACAGGATCTAACAGGAAACCAAGCAAAACACATCTGATTATTCCAGAACGTAAACCAATATGCTACTAAAAACAAAGTTCATGACCTCTACTCAATACAGAACTCTCATGGTAACATAATGAATTTCTGGTGACACTGGGGATTCCCAGGGGTCCCTGGATCACACTTTGAGAACTGATGCCTTAAAACAATAGATGAGTTTTGTCTGTTTTTAATTTAAAAGGTAGTATATAGTATGTACTTCCTTGAGTCTCACTTTTTATGTTTGTAAAATTAATGCATGTGGTTGTTCATTTTCGTTACTCTGTAATATTCCGTTGTTTAAAGTGCTACAATTTATTTATCAGTTCCTCTGTTGATGAACTTTGGGGTTCATTTTAGTCATTGGCTATTACAAATAATGCCATGAACATTCTTTTGGTGTGCATATGTATGTATTTTCCTGAGTATATAGTCAGGGTATATGGTAAATATTTTTTTATTTACCAGGTAAATATATACCAGATAAAAAATTTTTATTTTACCAGGTTTTGTAAATATTTCCACTTTTCCAAGTGGTTGTTTATCAATTTTCACTCTCACTAACAGGTTACTGGAGTTTCAGTTTTTCAGCATTCTCACCAACACTTGGTGTTGTCAGCTGTTTTTAAGCCAGTCTGATCAATATGTAGTAGTACCTACAGAGACTGGCAAAATAATGGCCAGTAGGCCAAATCTAACTCACTGCCTGTTTTTGTAAATAAAGTTTTATTGAAATATAGCTACTCTCTTTTGTTTATGTATTGTCTGACTGCTTTCACTCTATACTATCAGAGATGAGTAGTGCAACGGAGATCATATAGCCCACAAAGCCAAAAAGATTTACTGCCTGGTCCTTTAAAAAGTTTAAGAACCCCTGATCTAGAGCACTGTATTTTAATATGTGTTTACTTAATAACTAATGAGTTTTAGCACCTTTCGATACACTTACTGGCCGTTTGTATATCCTCTTTTGTGAAGTGCCTTTTGCCCATTTTTTGAGTGTCAATTGTTTTCTTATTGAATAGTAGTTATTTATTTTGTGTATAAATCCTTTGATACATGTATTACAAATATCCTCACTCACTTTGTGGCTTGCCTTTTCATCTTCTTAACAGTACATTCTGATCTTTTTTTTAAAGTTCAATATAGTCCAATTAATCAGCTGAACTATATAATTATGATTACTGTGGTTTGTATCCTCTTTAAGAAATCTTTGTCTATCCCAGTGTTAGGAATATATTCTCCTAGGTTATCCTCTCCTAACTTTATTGTTGTATGTTTTACATTTAGATTTTTAAAAAAATCATCTCAAATTGACTTTTGTGATAGGTATGGGACAGAGGTTAAAATTCATTATTTTTCCTATGAATATCCAATTACCAAGAGGCACTGACTGAAAGGTTCATGTTTAACCACTGCTTTGCAATGATACCTCTGTTATAAAGACAGACATGTAGGTTTGGTTTTGGACTCTGTATTCTCTTCCACTGATGACTTGTCTATCCTGGTACGTACACTACACTGTATTACATACTGTAGCTTTATAATAAGACTTGATATTTGGCAGTGTAAGTCCTTCAACTTTGAATACTGAATACTTCAAGACTATATTCAGTATTCTAGGTCCTTTACAATTCCACTGTAGAATCAACTTGTCAAATTACACACATACATACATACAACCTATTGAGATTTTGATAAAGATTGCTTTGAATTTATAAATCAATTCTGGGCAAATATGTATCTTTGAAATATTGAGTATTCCAATTCATGCACGTAATATATCCACCACTTATTTAATTTCTTGCCACAATGTTTTCTGTAGATATGTCTTGCACATCTTTTGCTAGATTTAGTCTTAGGTATTTAAAGTTTTAATGCTATTGTAAATATTCTAAGTTTAAAACTTCCAGTATTTTATTGCTGGAATATGAAAATATATTTATTTTTGGATATTAATTTTAAATCTACTGATTATGCTAAATTCATTTATTAATTCAAAGAGTTTATCTGAAGATTATTCTTCATTATCAAGGTATATGATCATGCTTTCTGTAAATAAATATAGTTTTATTTCTTCCTTTCCAATCCATGTTAGTTGTTTTTTTTTCTTGTGTTACCATACTGGCTGTGATCTCCAGTACAATGCTGACTAGGAGTGAGTTGGCATACTTGTTTAATTCTCAATATCGGGAGAAACGTCAATATTTCGCCATTAAGTATGACGTTAGATGTAGGCTTTTGTAGAACTCCTTTATTGAAGTGAAGACATTTCTACTATTCACTTATTGTTAAGAATTTTTTTCATAAATGGGGTGATGAATTTTACCAAATGACTTTTCTCTATTTATTGAGATGATCAGTACAATTTTTTTCCTTCAATCTATTAATGTGGTGAACTACATTAACTGATGCTCAAATATCAAACCAACCTTACATAACAGTCTAACTTAGAATAAATGTAACTTTGTTGTGACAGAGTATCCTTTTAATATATAGCTGGGATCAATATGCTAATGTTTTCTTTAGAATGTCTACCTCTATATCTTTGTTGGATTTTGGTATGAAGTTTATGCTGGCTTCAAAAATGAGTCGGGAAGTGTTCCTTCACTCTATTCTCTAGAAAAACTGTGTAGAATTGAGGTTTTGGTTTGTTTGTTTTTTTCCCTTAAATAAATGGGCATAATTCACCAGTGACCTCATCTTGGCCCATATTTTTCTTTGTAGGAATGTATTTAATTATGGATTTATTTTTTTCAATAGATACAGGACTATTTTAATTTTGTATTTGCACTTATATCCCTTTTGTTATGGTTTTTTCCTCTGGAAACTGGCTCGTTTCTTTCAAATTTTCAAATCCATTGATGTGACATTGTTCACAATATTTTCTTTTTTAGTTTTTTTTTTTACTGTACTTTAGATGAAGGTTTACAGAATATAATTTCTCATTAAACAGTTAGTACCCATATTGTTTTATGACATTGGTTAACAACCTCATGACATGTCAACACTCTCCCTTCTCGACCTTGGGTTCCCTATTACCAGATTTCCTGTCCCTTCCTACCTTCTAGTCCTTGTCCTGGGCTGTTGTGCCCCATTAGTCTCATTTTGTTTCATGGGCTTGTCTAATCTTTGGCTGAAGGGTGAACCTCGGCAGTGACTTCATTACTGAGCTAACAGGGTGTCCGAGGGTCGTACTCTCGCGATTTCTCCAGTCTCTGCCAGGCAAGTAAGTCTGGTCTTTTTTTGTGAGTTAGAATTTTGTTCTACATTTTTCTCCAGCTCTGTCTGAGACCCTCTGTTGTGATCCGTGTCAGAGCAGTCCGTGGTGGTAGCCAGGTACCATCTAGTTTTCCTGGACTCAGTCTGATGGAGTCCACGGTAGTTGTGATCCATTAGTCCTTCGGACTAATCTTTCCCTTGTATCTTGTTTTCTTCATTCTCCCTTGCTCCCGAAGGGGTGAGGCCAGTGGAGTAACTTAGATGGCTGCTCACAGGCTTTTAAGACCCCAGACACTACTCACCAAAGTAGAACGTAGAACATTTTCTTTATAAACTATGCTATGCCAATTGAGCTAGATGTTCCCCGAGACCACGGTCCCCATAGCCCTCCACCCAGCAATTCGGTCCCTTAGGGAGTTTGGATTTGCCCACGGGGCTTCCATGACCTTGTGTTGTACAAGTTGTCTCACAGTATTTTCAATGTCTGCCAGACTTTTAGTGATGTTCCGTTTTTACTCCTGGTATTTATTGGTAATTTGTAATCCCTCCCCTTTTCTCCTTCTCTTTTTCAATCTTTCTGGGATTATCAATACTGTTAATCTTTTCAAAGCATCCTTTGGCTTCTCTATTTTCTCTATTTTATGTCTATTTTCTAATTCATTACTTTCTTCTTTACCTTTATTATTTTTTTCCTCCTACTTTCTTTGGGTTTAATTTGCTGTTCCTTTTCTAATTTTTTTAAGGTGTATTTTCAGCTTTCTTTCCTCGTATATGCATTTAAGGTTATACATTTCCCTCTAAGCTAGCTTTAGGTGTATCACAAGTTTTGCTATGTCACATCTGCAGTATAATTTAGTTTAAAATCAATAATCAAAATAAAATGAGATGATCCGCAAATGTTTGAAATTAAGCAATGTGCTTCTAAATAACCCATGAATGAAAAGAAGAAACCAGTGATTTTTTTATCTGCTTAGGTTATTTAACTTATAGATAGCTTATGTTAAAATCTCCTGTTTTAATTGTGAATTTATTTCTCCTTTTAGTTCTGTCAATTTTTGTTTTATATGTTTTCAGATTGCATTATTAGGTACTAACAAATTTAGAATTTTTATATCAATGACTGCTTTATCATTATGAATTGTTCCTCTTTATCTCTAGTATTGCTTTTTGCCTTAAATTCTACTTTGTCTGATATTAACATGCACACACAAGCTCTTCTTTGGTCAGAGTTTTTATGGTTTACCTTTCTCCATCTTCATAATCTTAACCATTATATGTCCTTATACGTAAGGTGCAAGTCTTACAAGCAGATCGAGGCTTTCTCCCCCTTTATTTAATCCTACCATCTTGCCATCTTGTTTTTTCCATTTATCCCACATAATCTATGTTCCTTTTCCTCTCTTGCCTTCTTTTGGGTTGATCACATACTTTTAAATTATTCAATTTCCCCACTTCCATCAGCTTATTAATTATATATTACTCTTCTTCTGATGGTTACCCAGGGATTAGAACATGCATCTCTAACTTATTAGAGTGTGTCATGGATTGAATTGTGTCCCTCCCAAAATATCTGTCAACTTGGCTAGGTCATGATTCCCAGTGCTGTATGATTGTCTACCATTTTATCATCTGATGTGACTTCCCTATGTGTTGTAAATTCTATTACCATGATGTAATAAGATGGATTAGCGGCAGTTATATTGATGAGATCTACAAGATTCGATAGTGTCTTAAGCCAATCTCTTTTGAGATATAAAAGACAGAAGCAAGCAGAGACACATGG